TTATTAAAATATAGAAGTTAAACTGAGAACTGGCAAAAATAAGATATGCAAATTTAAAACAACTGTTCTATGAGCCAATCTGTTCAATACCTACATTTTAACAAGCTAACTAAGGTATGCTCACTTAGAGTGATATGTGCTAAGGTGCTAGGGTGAGCACAAGGCCTTTCACACTGCTGAAGTTGCACAGTGGGAGGGCATTGGTAAGATACAGGCAGAATGAATTTACATTTGGGCTTCTCTACCTCTGGCAGGCTGGCAGTGATTTCAGTAAAGGATCCAACACCACACACAGAAGTTGTAACTGTATTTTTTTCACACAAATATAACCAAAATTAAAATGGTATCAGGAGCCTGACTTAGAGGCTCTCTGTCTTCTTTTACTGACCAAGGTTATTGGACTAAAGAGACTTTAAGATTGCTGTCAATATTTGTTGCAATCCTAGCCACTACAGGACTGGTAAAAGATGCAGTTTAGAAAATACTAGTAGATATATGAAACAGTCACAGATGATTCACAGAATCATAGAACAGTAGGGCTGGAAGGAACCTTGTCTAGTCCTGCTCAAGGCAGGGTTGTCCCTGACTAAATCAGTTCATGTTAATATGAAAAAGCATTACTTAATTAAAAATAAGTGACTTTGGTTCATTTATATCTAGTATAGACATCAGAGGTGAACAAACTCTTCTGCGCATTTATTTTTTAAAAAGGGGCCCAAATAATTTCTGACCTCATTTTTACTTTATATTTGTTCCTTACTTGAATAATGCTGTAGTGACAAATTCATATTAGCTGCTGAAACAGCTTAGCATGACAGATATATGACTGGATAAAATGGATATTATTGAAGAAAAACACCTCATTTCAAAAAGCACAAAAATTATGATTCTATTCCTTTAAATTACATTCTGTAAAAGCGATGGACTGAATCATTTAATCTAACTAGCTTTTCTACTGCCCTCCTATTGGCAGTATCCACGACATAATCCAAGAATGACCTACTGAGCTGTGAGCTATATTCTCTTACACATACTGTAAGGCTATGCTCCAATAACTCCAGAATATTTAAGAGGAGGAAGAGAAGTGCTATCTTATAGCCCAACCACATTTACATGAGCTTTCTATTTAAAAACTATGAGGGGAAGTTAAACCTAGGTTTGCAGCACTGAGAGAAAGATGTGGATTGAGGAAAAATGGTGAAGAAAAGGTAATAGACAAAGAAGTAATATTAATTTCCATTAGCGCCTCTACCAGGTACATACTGCACATGTGGTCAGTGCCATAGTCTCTCATTCAGGAGCTCTTAGCAAGTGTTTTTAAAATTAGTCTTCCGACTGTAAATTAGTGGTTCATAAAAGATGCAACAGTAAAAAGAAAGCATTATGGATCATAGAAAGAATGCCAACATAACACTATGCCTTGTAGCTTGTAAGAATGGTATTTCTTTTATTATGCGAACCTCAGGACTTCAAAACCACATAAATCAGCAAGGCCTTAGTTATGCTCTTAAAGATGACTAAAGGAAACAAAGAAAAGAGAGCATGTTTTGAAAAAACAAAAGACAAGGTAAAAATAGTTAAGAACCCATCTTCTGCAGCTTCTGGAAGTAAAGATAAATACAGCATTACTGAGCCTTGACTAGGTTATCTAGAAAGATGTTCCATAATTTTACATTAAATTTTAGAGAATATTTTAGACCTCTCTTTCTTACAGTAATGGCTCATGCAACATTCCCAAAAAACCACATCCAGTAACATCTATCCAGCCTTCACTGCAGGAAAGTTTGCCCTCTATTTCACCACAAGAATTTGGTTTTTTTAATCATGCCATCAAAAATACTAGTAATAGGCTGCTGACAGATGTGAAAAACACATATAACCTGCGTTTTACTGGAAGAAGCATCACATTAAGTTTGACTCAGCTCCTCAGCATCTGTATAGATCGGGCACCTTAGTGGCGCTTTTTAGCACTTTTATCTAAAGCTAATTCAATCAGCCAGTCCATGCCCTCTTCTTTGCATACACTAGGCTGGGCGCAGAGGTGTACTGAGTTTAAAGTGCCACCTTTCGGTGGTGGGTTTTACATCTGTAAGCAAAGTCTAGTTAAAGAAGAGCAACAGTACATTTTCCTAAAGTGACTGAAGTCATAGGACAACTAAGATGGGTAGTTAGTAAATTTTATATATATATAAAACACTTCATCTCCTTGCCAAAGGTCCATAAATTTATAGGCACTCCATAAAAGTGAGACTAAAAATGTCTGCCCATATAATTAATGTATAAAAAAAAAAAAAAAGAGGCATCTGTAAGAAATGGAGTCATCTGTAGGAAGCCCCGAGCTTCACTGAGACTCCTGGAATAAAACTAGAGGCAAGCCTTGATGCACAGGCAGAACTGAGCAGCACCATATGGTATTTCAGTGGGAGTACAGCATACCCCCCCTTCCCCTCCTCCCAAACATGCTGCTTCTACAATGTCCAGTCCTTGCCTGTAACAGTTTGCCTTGCAGATAGGCAGACAGTGGTCCTTTGGGAGAAGCAGAATGGGGGTGGGGAGAGCGATGGGTAGGCTTTTTGACCAAGGTGCAGCTGGGGGTAACAGTGTGTGGGGTGAGTAAGGGACCCCTGGGGGGAGAAATCCAGTGTAAAACCACAGCCGCAGGCAAGCAGAGTTCCTAACAGAGGTGCACCGATTAAGATCTTTTTGGGCCAACGCTGATAGACAATGTTTAAGGAGGAATATCGGCCAATACCGATCCAATTTCCGATACACAGACCAGCAGCTTGAAGAGCTGCATCCAGCTGGTAAGTCTGTTGTGAAGAAAGGGGAGGAGAGAGGGAAGGGGAATGGGGGGGTGTAGATTGAGTCTCTTGTGATGAGGGAAGGAGTGGGGCTGGGACAGGTGCTGCCCAGCCAGGGCAGGATGGGGTGGGGTGCGGGACAGAACAGTGGCTTGTCCAGGGGGTGTGGGACAGGGACTTCTCCCGCTGTTATGCACACCCCAGAAGGGCATGGGGAACACATGCCCCCAGATCTGTGTGGGGCAGGCCAGGCTGCCACTGCAGGCTGGAGCCGGGCTGCACTCGGGACGGGCAGCAGCGGTGCTGGAAGCGGGGTGGAGGGAGGAGTGAAGGGGGCTATGGCGAATTGTGGGAAGGCTGCAGCCCCTCCTCCCCCAATCCCTGTTCCCAGCACTGCCGCCACCCATCCTGAGAGCAGTCTGACCCAGTCCCAGCCAAGAAGAGCCTGGTGCAGCCCTGGCCCCAACCCCAGCCCAGACCGGCAGCCCCACCCTTCACAGACCACCCCCCCCATGCCCTCCTGGGGTGCGCGCAGCAGCGAGAACCACCCCCCCAGCCCTCTGGATGAACTGCGGCTCCATCCTGCACCTTACCCCGCCCGGGCAGTACCTGCTCCAGCCCCACTCCCTCCCCTATCACAGGGGCCTCGATCTGCTGCCCCCATCCCCTTTCCAAGCTGCTGGGCTGTGCTCCTCTCTGCCTATCTGCTGTGCTGCAGCTGCACACATGCATGGGGCATTTATTGGCCAAATTACCAGCCACATCGGGGGAAAAAAAAGCTGATTTCCAATATAGTCAATTTTCTTTATATCAGTGCCGATCCAATATCAGACCGATGTATTGGTGCACCTCTAGTTGCCAAGACTTTTTTTTCCTTTACCGGCAATCATAGGAGCATAGGAGATTAGGGCTAGAAGGGACCTCATTGGATCATCAAGTCTAGCCCCTGCTCAAGACAGAACCATTCCTAACTGAACCATTCCAGCCAGCCAAGTGGCTGTCTAACCTGCTCTTGAAAACTTCCAAAGATAGAGATTCTTCTAGGTAGCCTATTCCAATGTTTGATCACACTCACCGTCAGAAAGTTCCTCCTAAACTCTAATCTAAATTTCCCCTGCTGAAGCTCGAGGCCATTGCTCCTAGTCCTGTCTCCTACAGCAAAAAGGCTATGTCTTTCCTCTCTGTAACTGCTCTTCTAGTATCTGAAAGCTGATATCAAATCCCCCCTCCCCACCATCTTCTCCTCTTCAAGTTAAATAACCCTAGTTCTTTTGGCCTTTTTCTCTTAAGTCTTGACTTCTAGGCCCATAATCATCTTTGGTCTCTGCAGTGGACTATCCAAACTGTCCACAGCCTTCTTGAAGTGTGAGCCCAAAACTGGATACAGTACTCTACAGGTTTTACTGCAAAGTTTTTACTGACAACCAATTTTTTTATTTATTTATTTTTTTTACAATGGTGGGTGTTAAACTCCTAAACTAGAACCCAGCTCTTGTCCAGGGCCTGGAGAAAGGTTATATTTACATTATATGAAATATATTTTAGTAACAAAAGTTTGGTTGTCAGTGAAAAGTTTGCAGACTATCAGTAAAAAAAAAAAAAAAAAAGGGATTTTGGGTAATCCTGCCTCCCCACTCTTGTACCGCCAATATCCAGGTAATTTCTTTCCAGAACCATTCATCCTAGCCTTTATTAAACAAGCACTGAACCTTGCTAACATCAAAACCAGAAGCAAACTTCCTATGACCCAAACCACACCTAATGGATCCAGAGCAGGACAAGAAATGTAAGGGCCAGGACAAGAAATGTACAACCTGCCAACACTTCTCCATCAGTCCCACAATAACTTACCACCCACAACAGAACCATCACCATTCCTGGCTCTTAAATCTGCACCTCCAGAAATGTTATAGATCTCATCCAGTGTACCAAATGCCCTGATGGAAAATATGTAGGAGAAATCAAACAACAACTGCGCACCAGAATGAATGCACACCAAAAATCCATCAAAGACAAGAATATCCAATTACTGGTGGGTGCCCACTTCTCACAAGACGATCACTCCCTCTCCGATTTCTCAGTTCTAATCCTCAAAGGGAAATAACAAAACACCTTTTGTAGACGAGCCTACGAACTTAACTTTATAAATCTATTAGATACAAAAAATCATGGACTTAATATAGACATTGGATTTATGACACATTACAACCTGCCTGACATCTAACACACCAGGTAACCTGCCTTTAGCTGACCACTGGCATTCCTTCACACTTTTCCCTCCCTTCTTCCTCCACCCCATCTCTACTCTTTTCTTCCAAACTTACACTCATTTGCATCTTCACAGATTTCTTGTTTACTTTAGCTTCTTCCACCTTGGAGAACTCATTACAGCAGCAAAGTCTCCCAATGCCTGAAGAAGGGTGGTTGTGCCCGAAAGCTTGCAAAGAACTTTTCCCCCAACTATTTTAGTCTAATAAAAGATATCACATCTACCCAAATAATCTTGCCTGAGTATGTCCTTAGACCAACATGGCTACAAACAACCACCCAGGTAATTTCAGCTCACACATATTAGGCTACAAGTAGTAGTTTTACATAGCAAACATTGTTTTCAGAGTAATTCTTGTCTACAACATTTGGCAAGGGAAAAATAATTGCTGTTGATTTTTAAATTGACTAGATCTCAATCTCACTCTTTATTACACTACTATTAATCCATTTCCATAAGTCACTAAATATTAATCCTCAGCCTCTCTCAGCCTTATTTTACACAAAAGTTGAATATTTATGTGATCTCTTAAACAGGAATAAAACTGGCCTTTTTGATTTTTTCAAATAATGTCTTCAAAGTAATCTGACAAACCAAAGCAGGCCTCCTTAAATTTGATAAAAATATTAACATATACAGAATTTAAAATTATACTTTTTTCCAGTTCAAAACATCATTCAAGCACTGTGTCAAATTATACCTTTTCTAATATATCTTTTGGATAGTCTAGATTTTTCCCTGGAAACATTATGAAGCAGACATAGACCACAAATACATCTATGTCAATACAAAATAACTCCTTGGGAGCCAACAGAGACATTCCAGATTATGAAGGATCAGAATCTGGCCTTAATTAGGGTTATTCCAATCACATGAATAAGACCATTTTATGCTTCATTAATCAAATGAATTTTTAAAATACACTGTGTAATTCTTGACAAAGTAATATCTTACATTTATACACGGGGATAAGGATTTGCTAGTTCTTTAGGTTTTGCTTGTAAAATATAGCTCAAAGTTTAACAATTAAACAAATGGTTTTATTTTGCATTAATAAGATTGTCTTTTGCTTACTTTGACATCAAGAGCTTTATGTGGTCAGGCCCCTCAAGCACACAAAAATCCCAATGAAAGCGTTAATAAAATATTAAGATCTCTTATGGGATATTGGTTTCTTATGCAAAAGCAGAATTCAACAGGACTACTGCTACGCTTAAAAATTAGATGATCTTACATCAGGCAAGTCAGATGCACATGGAGGAAAAAAGGGCTAAAAACCATCATGGTCTGGGGTATAAATTCGGTCTACATATTTTGTCCAGTGCACACTGAAATAGAAACTGATATCAGAAGAAGGTAGGCTCAGAGTTTAAGGGAGAATTTGTATTTCAACAAATCTACATTTTCATCTCTGCAACAACTTTGATATCCCAATTCTCATAAGCATAAACTCCCATCATCTGCCCCATTCTACCTGCTAAAATATTCAATGCTGAAGCGAAGTGTCATCTTTGGACTTTAGAGTTGACATTTCCACTTGATATCAGACAGGGCAGTTCAACTCTGAACATAACTGTTTTGGGCAGCTTACAGACACTGACATTGTTAAACTCTTCACATTTGGAAGAATCCCACTACAGGCAGGACACTATAAACTTGTATTTTAAATAAAAAAGCAGATTGTACAAAATCTAGACATATTTTAAGGGCCAGATCTAGCCAGTGGGTCTTATGTTTGACAATGTGACTTTGTTGCATCAAAACTCTTGTAATCTAGCTCTTGCCTATTTTCTCTTTCACAGAAAGCTAGCAAAAAAACACATTAGAGCCAGACTATAGTACCCTCATTCATTAAAAAGCAGCAGTAACTCTAATAGTGCCTTTTTCACCAGTACTCCCATTTCCTTGAGTGGGAATACTTATGCTATAAAGTATTATTCATCATAAATAAGGTTATGATCCCTAAATACAAAAGAATGAATTAAATCACTTAGTGACATTTATGAATTCCTAATATTTTATTGTCTATGACAAAATGAAAGGTGGAAAGATTGACCAAAGTTCCTATTTCCATTTATAACCTCTCAATATTATTTCTGTTGAAATTTATATTTGCTGATATGTATTTTATGCTACCATACAGGCAAGAATATACGGAACAAAATGTGCAATCTGCTGGGAAACACACAGCAGAAGTTACCGACTCTTATTGTGACCAAGCAATACTTGCCCTTGTCCACATAAATAAGCTTGAGACCTGTGCATCATTTTGGTTTCACTTTAACTCTACTTATAAGGCTTTAAGTGGAACCAAAACATTTGACTGCCCTCTGCAAAAAGTCAAATTTCACTAAGTAGCCAAGTATTACAAATGTATTTGTGATAATCACTAGGTTTTACAGAAGGACAGTTGTCTCTAGTGTGCACAGGTACGTGTGCATGTATATACACCTGTGTACACACACATTTTTAATATTCAGCTTTATATTTTCAACTTTGCTCTATCTATCTATGGAATCTAAGGATTGCATTCAACAACTGCTCTCAGTGTTAAAGGGTTAAAATAATGGGGAAAAAGGTTTGTCTTATACCTTAGTTAAGAACTTGAGATAGTAGTAGTAGTCTATAAAGTTTCATACATTTTCTTGTATAAAATCTGGATCAATTTTAAGATTTAAAAACTGATTCTAACATATTCATAATATGCTTTTATAGCAAGCTAGCAAGAAATAAATACCCAAGGGCGTTTAAACACATGCTCCGGGGGGTGGGACGGAGGGGTGCTTTAATCAGACCTCTAATTAGAGCGCCCAGAGCATCATGTACATCAGCACACCACACTGGAAAATGGCAGTGGAGGTACTTTAACTTAAGCTCATTAAACAAGCTTTAGTTAAAGCACCCCTACTGTCATTTTTCAGTGCAGGGACACTGATGCATGTGATGCTGGAGCCTGCTGGAGCATGGTAATTACCACACAACATCAGACTCATTACACTGAGTCTGCTCCAATGCACTGTAATTACAGTGCGTTGAAGCAGCCTCGATGCATGTGTATACATAGGTGTCCCAATTCTAGTTGGGAGGTCCTATCTATACAGGAAAGCTTTTCAAGTATAGCACAATTCCTGTTTTTGAGTTGCGGAGGTTTTTAAGAAGCAACTGGACATACATTTGTCTGGGGTGATTTAGGAACAGGAATCCTGTAATTATGCAGGGTGATGATTCTTGAGCTTTTGTCCAAACCCACAAACACTCTGTAAACATACTTACTTATTCCATTTACCTTAAAACCCTTTCAAGACCAAACGAAATGAGGGCTTTTTATATGGGAAAGAGAATCTACACACAAAGGATTATGCTACATAAATGGTTTAGAATTGGTTTAACTTGATTCATGACTTTCCTGTTTAGCCAAAAATGGACAATGGCACTGCAGAAGTTAAAAATCAACCAGTTGGCTATATTTAATACTTATTACATACATTTAATTTAAATTAGGCTGTAATAACTGTCACTTGGCCTTTGTTGGGTTTACCTGGCTACAGTAACTAAACTTTTCTACTAAAATCTATTAATTTAAATCTACTAATTTAAAAAGGCCCCCTGTGGTCCCAACATTTTTGGAATTTTACCTGAAAGTAGCTTTCCCTGGCTATTTTTACTTAAATTTAAATTCACGTATTTTAAGCATTTCTGAGACTGAGTGGTACTGGTTTATTATGACAGTGTGCCATAACAGTTGTAAGTGCTACAGATTATTTCAAAGTGAGTAAGCATGTGCGTGTGCATTTATATTTATACGGAAAGGTGTTCCATTTACTGCTTTGGATTCCATCCCTGTGAAACTACAATTATCCATACTAACAAAATCCTGAAACCATGCATTATCTATTGCAGGATCAGAGCCTCTACCACCATTTCCTTGGTTTATTCCTGGAACTACTCATTGGATCATTCACATATGCAACTGATATAACAATATTTTCCTGAATTACCCTTCATTTTGTTTATAATGTTTTAGTTTAGCTAATCCATATTCCTTAATAGATTAAATTTAGCTGAATTTATATTTGATTAATGTGCTACAGTTGACTTAGCAGAGGCCACTGCTAAATGTATTTCCCTTGTGGTTTTTAAATTTAATACTTTTGGGGGAGGGGAGGAGTATCAGAAATAATACTTGTATTCTATCTGGAAAAAATGGAGATTTCTTTATAAACATTTAGCAGTGATTTCTTTGCTTATATTCACAAAAGTTGAAGTCATGAATAAATTATTAAACCTTAATGAAAACAATTATTTTCAGGAACAGTGGCCATACAATCCTATCTGTTCCCAACTCTGTTAAAGAGCAGATTACAATGTGTATAACACACTGTGAAAATGAAAAAGAAGAAGTCTGTTTTTACCTTCAATTAGCACATATTCATTCTTAAGTTAAATATGGGCTTCAGTTCACTCCTATGTAATATGATGTCAAGAAACACACATCCATGAAAGCCCAGATAGTCTCTACAGGCATGGCAATTTGTATTTCTGACTATACACACTTTTATAGTTTCAGAGTTAAGGCATAAAAGCTTTCAACTATTCTGACCACAGCTTATCACAGGCCATTGAATTTCACCCAAATGCTCTTTATTAAACCCAAAGACTTTAGACTAAATATTTCAGTACTCAAGGAAGGGACTAAAATGTGTGTGTCAGAACATGACAAGCTAAGATGCTAATCCCCAAGGACCCTATAATGACATGAAATGGTAAGGACAATCCTAGAAGAAAAACTCAAATCCTATCTGGGTCTGCAGCCTTCCTAACTTGATCATCAATGGAAAGAGCACATGGCTATATATAAATGGTCATAATAGTAGCAATTATTTGGGCTCCCAGAAATTCTACCTAGGTACTCAGAGAATTCTTATCAGTATAGTATCTGAAATGACCATATTTCCTTGATTCTAAGGTGAGGTTTTTTTCCACCCGTATACCATGAGGAAGAAAAGCCCCTCATTGTGGAATTAAATATGAGGCAGCAAGGGGCCAGGCAGCTGCTGTGGCTTCAGCTACGGCCCCAACTCTGCTGCCTGCACATCCTCCCCCTGCTACCTATGCACCACCTGCCTCTCCTCAAATCCCACATCCTTGGGTCCCCACCACTCCCTTCCCCTGCATTTACTCCCTAGTTCCTCCACCTCCCCCCTGCCCGCTCTACCCCCACCACTACTTACCCTTGCTCCTGCAATGGTAGGTTCCATCTGTGCTCCAGCCTGAGGCATGAAACATGATCCCAGTCTGGACCTGTAGCAGCAGCATGGACTCAGTGCCACTGCTATGAGACCAGGCAGGGGCTGTAATCAATGGCCCAAGTTGCAGCAGGGATGGAGCCTGCCAGCACCAGAGCAAGAGTAAGCAATAGATGGAGAAGTCAGGGGTGAGTGGGCTCAAGGCTGTGGGGGCAGGGGGAACACAAGCCTGAGGTATGGGGGGCAGGTAGGCAAAACTGGGATAGATGGGGAGGCGGGAAGGAGGTAGGGGGCAAGCTGCCTGCCCCCCATTGCCGTCGCCACACAGCCTGTCTCTTACCACGTACCCACTTACTGCTTGTCCTGCACTGCTCCCCCACTGCCAGCCCCTTTACTGCGTCCCTACCACCACCTCCCCCTGTTTTCCCAGCTGCAGTGGTGGTGAGGATGGATTTAAGATGATCCTCCAATAATTAGATTCTATACAAGGAATATAATAACCAAATGATAAGTTTTCCATGTATAAGATCTTATTATTGGGGAGGGGGGGTTGTCTTAAATTCAGGACTGACTTGGATTTGGGTAAATCTGGTAAAGTTAAACTATCCCAGATAATTGTTTTTGAGCTGTCAATTACAAAGGCAATTAAAATGAGTTTGCATGTGTTTTGCCAAAGACATGTTTTTATGAGTTAGATTCCTTGCCAATAAAAGTAGTTTTCCATTCCAGAAATGTACTGCTAGCTCCATTAAAAAAATGGTTCAAATTTAATACATGGCACTGGGCAAGTCAGCTCTGAATTGGTGTTGCTTCCTTTTTGATACACAACATGCTTTTTTGCTTTCCAACATAAGACTTAGTTTTAATTGGAATCCACCAGATATTACCATGAAAGGCACCTGAAATATACCTGTTTAACAGCCGTGCTGTACAGTCACACCAAATGAATCACGGTATAGTCCTGAAGCCGAATACTACTTTTCTATTTATTAGCATGGTGCCAGCTGTGATATCACACCAACTATCTGATTTTGCTAATGACAAAATAGTTGGGGAATTTTTCCCACCTACTATGGAAGCTGCCTTTGTATTGGTCAATATGTATATTTACCACTTTCCCTAATATTACCTAAGTTTTCTCATATAAGTGAATCATCTAAGTTTCCTCATGCAGCCTTAAATGCCAATGCTTGGGGTGCACACCAAGAAAACAGCTACAGCAGCTTCTAAAAAATGTGATGGTAAGAATTCAGTAACAAGGAAGTAATAAGATTCAAATGCATAAAAACAAAAAGTCTCTCTTAGGTATGCATTTTACTTCTGTTCATATCACAGTATGAAATGTATTCCAAATTAAAACAAATCTTCACTATGCAAAATAACTACATATAATCATTTTAAATATAAATTTGTGTACTACAAGCCAAAAAAACCAAACCCTTAGTTCAAAACTTAAATCAGTACAAAAAAATTTTGTGAATATCACCTGGGCAAAATCTTCAGGATTACTCCAGCTGTAAAAAACCTGCAAGTTTTTGAAAATCTGTTTTCACAACTATCATATCTATACTCTGCTGCAGAGTTGAAGATTCCTGTTTTAGAGATCACATGACCACAAAAAAATCCACACGTTATGGATGTACAGCACAGTCAGCTAGGGCTAAGAGACTAGAAGCAACACAGATAGAATTACATGCAGCAACACACAGATGGAATCAGGGGTTTCTTGTTTTTTTTTTTAAATCTGAAAAAGGAAAGGTTTAGATGAAAACTTCCCTGAGCTTCAGATAAAATAAAGTCAGCACAGTAAAGTTTTACAATAGCTTCACCCTTACTCTTAGCAGGGTGAAGCTAATAGGGCACGATATCTTGATGTAATTTTTAAGTCATTAGGATGAAAACACACACACACACACACACTCTCAGCCTCCCCGCCCACTGG